AAGTCATCCAATAATTTCGGATCCAGAGTTTTAATAAAGTTTTCAGATGATGAACTTTTGATTTCATCTGGTTCAAGTTTAACAACATCACCATTTGTTTTAGGATGTTCAAGATTATTAGAGCCAAAACAAAAGATCTCGTATGTCTTCTGTATGCTATTTAGATCAACTTGTTGCATACCTTTTGAAGAATAAGAGATGTTTTTGAATTTTAACCTTTGAGTTTTGGCCCTATTCTCAAGCTTACATCTTTTAAAAGGTGAGGCTTTATGCAGAGATGGAAAATCTAGTTTTTGCTCTGCTCCAAACCTAAACACAGACTCAAGAGTGGATTTCTTCTTCCAAGTGAGGTCTAGGTCTGTATAACCTATCCCTGCTTTATCCTGTTGAGAATTAATCTTTTCATACACTTGCTGAGCATCTTGATATTTTTTAATCAAGAGCTCTTTTCTTTGTAAGCTCTGGTGTAGAAATTCCCTTTTCTTTTGAAAATAAATTTTCAGGGCTTTAGAGTTTAGTCGGTCACATTCCTTTTCTAAAAGCTCTCTTTCTTTCTTTTGTATAGCCGCTTTTAGTTCAGAGCACTCTGATTTAAGACTTATTTCAGTGGAACGTTTTGTTTGCAAAAGTTTTTCTTTCTCCACTGACAATTCTTGTTTTTCTACAATTAATAGCTCTCTCTCACGTTCAAAGAATAACTTTTCTTTTTCCAAAGACTTCCTTTTAGATTTTTCGACAGAGAGCTTTTGCTGTAGATTTATGAAATCATTAGTTAAAGCAGAGATGCTTTCTTCCAGATCGGAATGAGAATAACCAAGAGTCGGAGCCAAATCTAGACTCTTCTGTGTCATTCTCAACAACCATTCCACATAAGTGGGTTTGGTCTTCTTCTTCAGATGAGGAGTCAGAGACCCAGTTCTCCTATTCACCCATGAGACTCCTTTGGGATCGATTATACTTGTAATTATTTATATAGTACAACTCATCTTTCACTAAAGGGCCTTTGCACTCTTTGAAGTAGTGTTGCATCTTTCTGCATCTGAAACATCTGACAGCTTGCTTCTTTTGTTCAGACTGCTCCTCCTCCTTCTTGTTTGACACAGAAGGAGGGTTCCTTCCTTCGAAAGCTCTGCTTCTATTTCTGTCGCCTTGGCTTTCTTCCCGAATTTCCTTTGAAATTCCTTGGTAATCAAGGCCAAGGAATGTGCAAAAGCACTAATGTCATCGTCTTCAGAGCTTGATGCTCTGTCTTCTTCATCGCTGTCCATGATAAGAGCCTTCTTCCCCTTTCTCTGTTCCTCCTTTTATCTTCTTTCTCTGTGTGGTTGATTGGATCCAGTCTCTTTTGAGTCAGAGACAAGAGCTAGAGGTCCACCCAGAGCGACTTTGGCCTTCTACACTTCTTGCTTCTATGCTTGCAGAGTGCTATACACATCATGAAGAGTCCATTGCTCCAAATCTTGGTTCGCCTTGAGAGACATGGTCAAGTTTCCCCATTCAGCATTCAACCTCTTCAAGAAGAGCATATTGTTCTCCTCTTGAGTTCTGATCACATCACATTTTCGACATTTGTTGATCAGCGTGTTGAATCTGTGATAAGTCTTCTCTAAAGACTCATCAGGTAGTGCTTGGAAACTATTGTACTCATTTAAACATTGAGCACGATGGTTTTTCTTCATTTTGATTCGTCCTTCCAGCTGGTTTGCCAATTGATCCCATAGATCTTTGGCAGACTCACAATCATCTAGAGTTTGAAAAATCTCATTAGGAAGGGCCATGATCAAAAGCCTCTTGGCTTTCTGATCCACTTCCACTCTACGCTTGTCCTCATTGTCCCAATCTCGACGAAGCTTGGGAACTCTTCTGGTTGGAACTTCGACCGTGTCGCCAGCAGCAGGAATGCGGGGAATTAGTGTATTAGGTACAAAAGGGCCATTTAAAATTGATTCGTAAAGCTCAAGGTCAAGACCTTCGTAAAAATTGATCATCCGTATTTTTCATTGGGGATATTCTTCTCTAATGAGTGTTGGAGGTTTTGTAAGAGATCCAGCACTACACATGGAGTTCCACGTTTGACTATACATTTTGTTTAAGGATTTTGAGAAGAAAAATTGACTTGAAAGTGATAAACGATATGTAACTGATTTCCAGAATACTAAAAGTAGACTTTTTTAAATGGATTAAAAATAAGAATGAAATTCTTTTTTAAAAACGAATAATCAGAAATTAAGAGAGGTATCCTGATGGATATTGATTGACTAATCAATGAATTTGATTAGCTGGCTCTGATACCAATTGTTGGAACCCAGATACTCTTAATTTTCAGAAAACACAGCTAATGAAGAATATGAATGAAATACGAACAGTGTACTAAATTGATCAAACAAGATATTTAATAGAAATAAGAACACTGAAATATTTTGAATAAGTCGGATGCTTTATTAGATGAAAATAAAAATTCACAATCCAAAACGTATTCTCACAAGAACTTTGCTATAATCTAAGTCGGAACTCTATGGTACTTTGAACTTGAGGAGGATGCCTTCTTATATACGCCTAAGTCAAACAAACTATGCTATAATTATGGCTTGAAACTATGATCGCTGAATCCACATCCTTATCGTTGACTGCCCTTGAAATGTGGACCGGACTCAGTCAAGCCGCCTTGAATCTGTTTGATGCTTATGAGAATATCTAGACTAAGCGCGCATTCCATGGAGATAGGAGACTAGAGGCTCTGCATGTACTATACAGAGGCTCTGCATGTATTATGCAGAAGCTCTGTGTCTGGAGTTTAGCTTTGCATAAAGCGCTTAAGCTTTTTGGCGCTTAAGACTTGATCGACCACATAATTGAGTGCGGGCTCTTTATGTGAGATCCTTTACTCTTGAGTAAGAACTCTGGGTTTTGACTTCTGCATGAGAGCTCTTAGTCCAGACTGCTTCTAAAGACTAAGTCCTATGAACTAGAGTAAAAGGCTTCTTACTTACACTTTCACAAGATGGGGTCTAACAATTTTTATTTAAGAGACATGATAATAACAGTTTAAAGAATAGCTGAAACAGATATTGGAATATGTATGAAGAGAAATTACACAAGTAAGATCTCAAAAAAATGTCTGATCAAAAATGATACTCGTTTTGAAATCAACTCGAAAATTCAACAAATATTTTTCAAAAACTTTTTAGAACTCCCCTTAGAAAATAGATTTCTTTATCAGCTCAAAATCCAAACAAGTACAAACTTATTTTCCTGTACTTAGTAAAAGGAAACATTTCAGCTCAAAATTGAAGAGCATGTCCTGAATTAGGTGTTCACAAACTAATTTCAAACAAATTACACACTCCCCCTGTATCAGTGCATCATATAGAAGATATTTCTTGTCAGCACAGCATATGACACACCTGCAAAAACAAATTAAGTAGACTTTGGTACCTAGACAAACATGGGTCCTACTTTGTTAGTATTGGCTTGAGGGATGTTATAACTGCCATACCATCTGTTTCTATTAGATAAATTCTTTTTAGCACTTTTAACAGGTAAATCAGATATGCAGTAAGAACCTTGCCAATCATTATCATACATGTTATATGTATTCCAGTTGTTCTCATAGCCATTGTTCCCATACCATCTGTTGAAATTTTTCTTATTGACAAAGTCATTAGTTCCACAAGTTGAGCATCGAATTCTTCTCTTGCTAAGACTACTTAATTGATTAGTAGATCTTACAATGCAAGGAAGAACAGTCTTAGTAACAACAGATTTATGAGATACAACAGATTCAACTTTATTAACCCAAACTTGTTTTATTTTTGAAAAATTATTGGGTGATTCAATGACATAACCCTTGTAAAAAAAATTGAAGTATGAGATTTGTTCTTACAAACAGTTGATTTAAGGCTGCTCGAATAACTATTAGATTTGACACTAGAACAGTCATGAAGGCAGGTTTTACACTGAGATTGAGAACCAGTTGAGCTTTCAACAATTGATTTAGAAAATTCTTTTATTTTCTTAAGTAACCGGTCTCTCTCTTCAACAACTAAATCATATTTCTTTTTAAGTTCATTTCTCATATTCAATTCAGCTACAAGTTCTGTCTTTAAATTAGACAATTTCGTTGAAGTATCCTAGAACTTACCTTCCAATTCTTTCTTCAACTTCTCAAAACTTTTCCTTTCTTTCTCAAATTCTTTCCTCTCTTCTTCTGAACTTCCCTTCTCATTCACTGAAGCAATGCCAAGCCATTTCTTTTTCTCTATAAGCTCCTTAGCAATTGCAGCATTCTTTTTAGCAGTACTTTTCTTCTCCAAAGCAAAAACATTCTTTTCTTCATTTAAAGCTTTCTGCTTTTGAGCAAGACACTGCCTAGCTCAAGGATATACTCATATCCATTTCGGTGCTATTAGACTTGCCCGTCATGGATATGGAAGACATTTAGGTATGATGGTGAAAAACGTTTTGTAATTCAACTGGGACCTCTCTCTTAAAGTGAGATCAGCAATGGTTTCTGTTACTTCATCTGGCAGGACTTGTGGTACAACTGTGATACCTTCAGCTGGATCAACCTGAKGTGGAGTTTGAGAAGTGTGTGGAACAGGAGAGCTGGAAGAACTTGCATTCTCGACAGGAAATACCATTGGAAGGACCTTGGCTTTGTGGATGATCTGAATGTCTTTTGGAACATCATATTTATAGCCTTTTGGTCTTGACAGAAAATATGCTAGGATATTTTCTGACCCCTTGATATGTTTCACAGTGAATTTCCATTGAGAGAACCAGTTTGCCCATCTCAAAAGTTGAGCCTCTGGGAGAATCTTTCTTTTGAACTGGAGCATACGTGGGAAAGAAGACATATCCATTTCAATTAGGAAATCGTGCCCGATTAAATGGAATTGGTATCTTTCTATTCCCCTTTTGACCGCTAGGATTTCTTTAAAGGTAGAGTGGTAGTGCTGCTCCGAATCTTTGAACGGGCCACTTTTGTATCCACAAATTGTTCAGACACCAGCTTTGTTTTGAACTATTATGACTGCCCCCCAGTAATCATCACTTGCGTCAGTCTGGAGGACCCTTTTGTCAGAAACAGTAGGAATCTTTAAAGGAGGCATCACATCAGCCAGTTGCTTTATTCTTTCTATTGCTAAATGCTGTCAAACATTTCCAAATTCTTCATTTGACATTCTTCCTCATTCTCTTTCTTCTCTTTATCAAACTTGGCTCGTTCCAAGATGATAATTTGTTCAAAATCTGATATTTGTTTTGAAAGCAATGTAGCATTCAGCTCTAAAGCTTTTATCTTGCTTTCAAATACTTTCCTTTCAGCATCAAATCTTTTATCAATCTCTATCAGTATATCATTCTCTTTTCCATGTAAATTACTTTCATCATTTAGTTCATTCTCAACTTTATTGACTTTCTTTGTCAACTCATACTTCTCTTTGATCTGTTTTACTCTTTCTTCCTCTGACTCTTTTCTTTCAGATTCTAAAGTCTTTTCAAGTTCATAAATTCTAGATGTCAGCCTGTAATTGTCCTTTAATAGATCTAAGTCTCTCTTTTGACTTGCACTGAAATAATTATCTTTTCCAAGAAGTACATCAATCTCAGCTTGAAGAAACTTATTTTCTTCTTCGAATTTCTTTATCTTTTGTTTCAACTCTTTAGCCCTAACAAAATTGGCATGATTTTCATAAAACACCTTCACATATTTTTCTTTTTGTTCCTTCAGACTTATCTCCATCTCATAAACTTTCTCCTTCAAAACCTTATTTTCTTTCTCCACAAATGATGCCATTTAAAAATCAAGAACGATTGATCAAACAAAGAATCTCTGCAATTCAAGAAATTGATTAAAGAAAAAACTATCCAAAAATTCACACAAGATTTTCTTTTGCAATTAAAAATTGAAATCTATCCGGATCAGAAATCTGGTCAAAACTCAAATATAGTCAACAAACTTCAAACACAACAAATTGGTCAAAAAGATAACCAAGTCAACTCAAAACAAATGAACTTGTCCGTAGAAGTAATACGGACAATGAATATCAACTAAACAAATATGGTCCAAATGGTTGAATATGGTCAAGTGTTATATATCCGGATATGAAGGTACAAAATACGGACAATGTGATGGAAACACCAATACGGACAAGTTACTTCCAAAAACCGGACAAGTGAACTTCAAATCCGTTCAAGAAAGCAACCAATCTATACCAAAACCGGACAAAGTTACTTCCGGTTTACAAGAAAACCAGACAACAAGTTTTCGATTAATATGAAATCCGGACAGAAGGCAGTAGCCGGATTATGCCAAACCAGTCAAGGAGTCAATCGATTAACAGGGATTCCGGACAAGGTGAACTACAATGAATCACACTAAATCCGGTCAAGGAAGTCTCTGGTTAATAGGTAATCCAGACAAGATTGTCAGCTACGGAAGAAGTAATGTCCGATATGTGATGAATACAAATGGTTACAACCGGATTACTCCAAATCCGGTCAAGACAGCTTCCGATTAAGAGGAAATATGGACAATTAATCCGATTAACAATAGAGTCCGGTCAAGGAGGTGTTCGATTAACAGGACATCCAGACAAGGAAGCTACCGAATTCACACTTAAACCACAAGTCACAAATCACAAATCGGACAATGAAGTAGCCGGTATACAAGAAATTTGGTCAAGATGTATACGTATTAGTGCAAATCAGATTACCAATTCTTCAATCACAAACACCAAATTTCATGAAACTACAACAAAAAATGGATCAAAATACCAAAATTTTATGAACTTTATAAGAACAGTAAGTTTTCATAAAACCAAAAAAAATCCTTCAAAAACACTCAAATTATTGATCAAATCATAAACTTTTGTGAACAAAAATGATACACAACATAAAATTGCACACAAAGATCCAAATTTTAGGAATCAAACAATCAAAAAATGAAATATTTGAGATGAAATTGATGAAAGTTTCACAAAAAATTCAAGAATATAAGATGAACATAAAAAACATCCAATGAATTTCCAGAAAAATGTGCAGAAAAATCTTGAATTTTGTACAATTTCTTCAAACAATAACGATACAGATCGCTCTGCTACCAATTGTTTGTCCCAATATGTTCAATAAACTATCATGATCATTAAGAACACAATAAATGGCAAATTCAAGATTATTAATCTTGAGAGAGAAAGTCAATAAGTCAAATTATATGTATTATCTTCAAAGCTCTCAATTACAAATCTAATCACAATTAAGCTCTCTAACTCTAAGCATCCTACTAATTACAAAGAGCTAAACCTATTTATAGGTCTAAACAAAACAATATTACAAAGAATACTTTCAAGAATGAATACAACATATAAACTCTAAAACTCAAGCCTAACAGGATGGTCTTTAGTCAATCGTTGAGCTGGTAGAGGATTATCATCTGAGTAGAGAAGCTCTGGAACAGTGGATGAGGCTTCAGCTGCAGTGTCTTCAGCAATTGGAACAATTGCTAAAAAAGCCTCAGATTCAACGACTGCAATAGGCTCAAATGCTTAAGGCATTTCATTCACTGATTGATCAGTGTTTGAAGTAGAAGGAGGAACACAGCTAATGTACACGTCAGCGATCTCTGAAGAAGACATGTTGGTGTGACTAGCTACAAATAGAATGATTAATGGTTTATCCTCAGCTTCTGGGGCTTTAGTGTTGAGAGGAACAGTGAACGAAGCTTCAGGTTGTCCATAATAAGAGAACATCCAGTTTTCTAATTCATCTTCATCATTTAAGATGGGTTTTGAATTAGCTAATTGAAATTCTTCAAATGTGGCATGAATAGTTTCTTCTATCGTCTGTTTGCATTTGTTGAATATTCTGATGGCTTTGGACACTGAAGAATATCCAAGAAAGATTCCTTCATCGGCTTTGGGATCAAACTTTCCTAGTTGATCATGATTGTTGATAATATAACACGTGCAACCAAGGATATGTAGAAAGCTAATAGAGGGCTTTCTGCCATGGAAAAGTTCATAGGTTGTCTTCTTGAACCTCTTAACGATTAGTGACCCATTTTGAGTGAAACAAGCAGTGTTGACAGCTTCAGCCCAGAAAATTTGTAGGAAGATGGGACTCGTTGAGCATTGACTGAGCAGCCTCAATGATTGTTCGATTTCTTCTTTTAGCGACCCCATTTTGCTGAGGAGTTCTCACTGAAGAAAAGTTATGAGAAATTCCCTTGTCCTCAAAGAAGTTATCCATAGTACTATTTTTAAATTCAGTACTATGGTCACTTCTAATAGACCGTACTTTAATGTTGTTAAGTACTTATATTTTCTTGATGAACGATATGATGTCTTCAGGTACTTCACTTTTGGATCTGAGAAAAAAGACCCAAGTGTACCTGGACCAAAGAGATCCATGTGAAGTAGCTGAAGAGGCGATGTCACTAAAGAGATTTGCTTTGACTTGAAGCTATCTCTTGTTTGTTTTCCATTCTCACACGCTGAGCAAAGATATTCCTTTGCAAAAGAGTGTTGAGGAAGATCAGTGACAAGATCATTTCTAGATAACTCACTAAGTGTCTTGAAGTTAAAGTGAGAAAGTTGTTTGTGCCACAGCCAGTTGATGTCTGACAAAGCATTAGAGAAGAAACAACTATTCTCTGTGAAAGAAAAATCCATATTGATGATGTAGACATTCTCTAGATGGGAACCGGTCAAGGCAACCTTATCATCTTTGTCATAAACGTAGCATGAATTATTGAGCGGTAGAGTTGTTTATGAATGTCTTCGTGGTGGCCTTGATTTTATTAAAGATGATGAGAACGTGAACTCCCAACCATTTCTTATTTTGTGCCAAAGCTATTTATAAAGCACTCACGAAATAGCAATAGAACTTTTCCAGGCATTTGTAGTTCATGACCTAATTAGAAAACATCTTGCTTCGAACATAGGAGTTGCTAAGAGTCAAATTCCGAAAAAAAAACCGCTTGTATGGGAAAGCAAATCCTGTAGCCACTTGTACTAAAAAAACAAGTAAGCGTAATTCCCCTTAGACAATAAAATATGTTTACATGGGGAGGAACATAATATGATTGATAGAACAAGATAATATATAGGAAACTCAAAATTTTAAATCATGGATACGTATATATTCTTAACATACTCAAGCGACTCCCATTATTGGTTTCAAACCAATAGCGATTCATACACCGGGAATGCCCGGCTTATCAATTTATCTGGTAATCTACTAGGGGCTCATGTAGCCCATGCCGGATTAATCGTATTCTAGGCCGGAGCAATGAATCTATTTGAAGTGGCTCATTAGTCTACCCAGTGCTAGATGCAGAGGCGCATAATAGATCGATATGAACATTATGAGTTGTCCCGTAACAAAACAAGTTGACGTCGTTTGTTCTATTCTACTAGAACCCTTCTTTTTTTATGGGGTTGTAATGTAAATAGTTCATGATGGAGCTCGAGAAGAAATTCACTGTATAGTATATATCACACACTTGACTGATGCTGAGGAGGTTGTGCTTTAGTCCTTCAACGTATGCAACACGACTGAATGTGGTTGCACCATTGGTTAATATACCAAAACCTCTAGTATATCCTTTTCCATTACCTCCAAAGGTTACGGATTTGTCTCTGGTCATGTGCCTTGACCATCCACTGTTGAGATACCATATGCCTTTGACTTCCTGCACAAGGCAACAATTTAAAAATGCTTTTGGTACCCATCTATTTGGGTCCAGCAATGTTAGAGGCTTCATCTACTACAACTGAAGAACCAGCGTTAGTAGATGACTTCATTGAACTTGGAAAGGTTTTAGTGGAAATAGGAACAACCTCTAACGCTAGAGAGAAAGAGTTAGTAGGTGTCCTCACTGAGCCTGACAAAGAGGCTTCAGTGGTGGGAACTACAACACCTAATACCGAAAGCTTAGTATCGGTAGTTGTCTTTACTGAGCCTGAAGAGGGAGCTCCAGTGGTTCTCTTCACCTTGGTTACTTTAGCAGCCTTAGTGGATGATTTCGCTTTGGTTGATTTCTCAGCTTTAGCTACTTTCTTACCCTTGGCTGGTGGACCAGCCTTGGCGGCAGAAGGACACTTACTAGCAATGTGTATAGTTTCACTACAATGCTTACACTTCCTATAGTTGAAGGTAGCTATAGGGCCAGGAAGTACCTGATTTGAAGAGGGACCACCTCCAAGGATTCTCTTCTCATTAGTTATTGGAGGAACTTTAGAGGGTTTGGAGTTCTTAGGTGAAGCGTTCACCTTGAGCTGAGTGTTCAGAGTTCTTAGTCCCTCAAGAAGAAGAAGGTTTATAAGCTGAAGGAATAGATTTAGATCTATTTGACTTGTTAGTCTTCTTGGCAAGAGGTGCTTTGACAATGGATTTCCATTAAGATGACTCTTAGTGAAAGAAGACTGAGAAGAAAAAGTGTCAGGAATAGAAAAGACAAAGGTGCCAAACTTGAGCATGGACCTGTTAGTGACACTATCTTCCTGATCATAGGAGAATCCTTGACCAGTCTTTATCTTGGCAGGGATATGAGCGTTAATGATCTTTGAGGCCTTGACAGAGGCTTTCCACCATCCTACTATGGTAGCCTTCTCAGCCCTGAGTTCAACAATTGCTTGCTCACTTTCAGCTATAGCTTGTTCACGTTCGACAATGATGGTTTGGTTCACAATGACCTGATCCTTAAGATTTTCTTCAACCTTAGTCAGCTCTTTGAACTTTGAATGACAAATCTTGAATTGTTCTTGAAGATCAAGATTAAGCATTTCTGCTTTAGAC